CAGCTCAAGGCTAGCACTCTACCACTTGAGCCACAGCACCACTTCTGGCTTTTTTCTTTTTGCTTATATGGTGCTGAGGAATCGAACCCAGGGCCTCAGGCATGCAAGGCAAGCGCTCTACCACTGAGCCACCTTCCCAGCCCATTTTCTTTTAGTTGTTTTACAAATAGGATCTTCAGCTTTTTGTCCAGTCCAGCCTTTGACTTCCTTTATCTGCCTACCAATCAGCCTTGAGCTGAAGAACTGAGGGACAGTACCCATGCCCAGAGTTAAAAATTAAAAATAAATAAAAAATAACCAGCACAAACGGGGGCTGGAGGAATAACTCAGCAGTATCAAACAGCCTAGCAAACATGATGCTCTGAATTCAAATCCCATTTCAAAAAAAAAGGGAGGACTGGGAGGTTGGCTCAGTGATAGAGTACTTGCCTCACATGCATGAGGCCCTGGGTTTGATTCCTCAACACCACTTAAGCAGAAGAAAAGAAAAAGCTGAAAGTGGTACTGTGGCTCCAGTAGTAGGGCGCTAGCCTTGAGCTGAAGAGCTGAGGGACAGCGCCCAGGCCCAGAGTTCAGGCCCCACGACCAGACCCAAAGAAAAAAGAAAAAAAAAAAAGATACTGCTGGAAAAGAAAAAAACAAAAAACAACCATGCACAATATCTGCCTACCAAGTAGCTGAGATGACTGGCATGAGTCACCACAGAGCTATAGCAACCTTTGGAAGAAGTAAGTGAAAGTATGCCTTTCCTAGCAACTAAATTACATACTGTACTCTTGAAATTTATTCAGCGATTATTTTGTTACAGGTTAAATAAAAACTAAGATTAGACTATTAAATTATTTATTTTCCTACCTCATTCCCATTACACATTCATAAAGGAATATGATTCCTTCTTTCTGATGTGGTCGAAGGCAATACACAAGGTGAGGATCCACCACCACATCCACAAGGGGGTTACAATTCTTATTAAACATCCACTGATGATTCTTGTCTGGTCGTGGCATTACAAGTGAATCTTACAAAAATGAGGGGGGAAGAATAATTATAAATGTTATTTCACTTTGTCAGCAACTATTTTGTTTTCACTACTCCTAACAGAACTTTATCATTTTTATAGCATTATATATATATGAAATATGTTATATATGTTTATATGTGTATATATATTTGTATACATACATTTATAAATAAATATATATATATCCATATATATATTATATCTGAAATTTAGGGCAAGCATAGTAGTATTATACAGGAATTCGATTGTGAGAGAGGCCGAAGTTGAATCAGAGTCTTTATTAGAAAGCCAGTGACCGCAAACAGAATCACATCCCTCAAAAATCTTGCAGCCTCCAACACAATACTGTTAGGAAACAGAGCCACGAGGGTAGCAAAGAAAGCACAGAAAACAATCTCAACAAACAGGATCAACTCTAATGTAGATCTGAAGAGGAACACCATGGTGACCTGGGGAGTCAGAGACACCATATACAACACAATGGTGGCAGGAGCCAAGAGGCCTAAATAGGGTCATGGTTAAGGGGCAGAATTACAGGGAGCTCTAGAGTTCAGAGTCTCATGAATTCATGGTACAGGTCTGAAAGGTCTGGGAACCTAGTATCCAAGTCCACACACTGCTTCTAGGAATTCAGGCACCTATCACCTGGGAGTGAGGGTGAGGAAGTGGAACTACACTTGTAGAGTCCCCATCATCCACTAAGATGCCAAAATGCCATGACTTAGACCCATTCTCCATATTTCAGTGGTACATACCTATAATTCCTACACAGAGAAGGTAGTAGAGGCAAGAGCATAAGTTGTAGGCCACATCATGTCTCCAAAACAGCCTAGAAATTTATTGACACTAATAAAGAGTACAACATTTAAAAGGGAAGTCTCATGCCTTATTATTGTAAGATTTCAAGAAAAGAACTACAAAGAGCTTTCCAAACTTCATATGCTCAAAAAAGCTTCAAAACCACTGGAATTCATGATTGCCTAATAAGGAATTCAGTAAGCCATAACATTCACTAGTTTAGTATTCAGAGCAAAGGAAACTCTTTCCACTTGAAGCACAAGTTGGAATTTTGCCAAGATGCATTTGCTAACTAACGTCCACAGCTTCTAATTCTGAAAGAACTCCTCAAACTTAATATAAAGGCTCTATTTATTTTCAGTCTTGTACACACTAACATTGACCATTACTCCTATTAATCATAATTTAGAAGGAATGCCAAACTTTCCATTAGTCTAGCCATTATTATTTGTTTAAAGTTAATTATTACATTCATGGATTTGAAATTCATGAAGCTCTGCAAAGCAGCATGAAGTAATTATTGAATAACAATGTAATTCTTTAGAAATATGCTAACAAAATTTGAGAGATTTACTAAAACTGCACCAATAAGACAGAATCAGTTATAACTAGAGGGCAAGTTTCAACTGACAAACCTGAAGATAATAAACCTATTCAAATTATTTTGGGGGTATATTTGCATATTTATATCATAGTGAAAAACTGAATTTGATCCAAAGATAAAAAGAAGGAAAAAAGAGAATAAAAAAGAGACGAGAAATGGCAATAAAAAGAAATAGGGCCGGGCACTGGTGGCGCACACCTGTAATCCTAGCTACTGAGGAGGCTGAGATCTGAGGTGGTTCAAAGCCAGCCAGAGCAGGAAAGTCTGTGAGACTCTTATTTCCAATAAATCACCAGAAAACTGGAAGTGGCACTGTGGCTCAAGTGGGAGAGTGCCTGCCTTGAGCTGAAGAGCTGAGGGACAGTGCCCAGGCCTAGAGTTCAAGCCCCATGACCAACAAAAAGAAAAGAAGGCAGGAAGGCAAGAAAGCAGGCAGGCAGGCGGAAGGAAGGAAGGGAGGGAGGGAGGGAGGGAGGGAATAAGGAAGGAAGGAGGAAGGAAGGAAGGAAGGAAGGAAGGAAGGAAGGAAGGAAGGAAGGAAGGAAGGAAGGAAGGAAGGAAGGAAGGGGGTTCCAGTAGCTTAAATAAATATCCATCATGTAGAATCACAAAGCACTGGAATGGGACCATGGTTCTATTTACCATTAGCAACTGCCCAGAGAACAAGCTTTCCCAAGTTTCTGAGTAACTGAAAAAGGTTTCATATCTGAGTCAATTCTTAGGTATACATTGAGGAAGTAAAAATTGTAGTCCATGGCTTTCCTATACTGGAGCAAACCAAGAATAATTCTTTGTGGATTTGCAACAAAGAAATGCCAACACTTCTTTGCTTCCCTGTCTTTAAGGACAAGGGACACAGCAATAGTAGCTCACACTGTTAATCCTAGCTACTTGGGAAGCTGAGATTGAAAGGATCTTACTTTGAGGTCAGTCTGGTCAGTTCCCAAGATCCCTCAACTAATAGCTGAATGTGGTGGTACCCAACTGTGACCTCAGCTCTGCTGGGAAGTATAAAATAGGAGGATCACAGTCCAGATCTAGACAAAGAGACCATATGTTAAAATAAGTACATATATTAGCAGTAGACCACCTGCCTAGCAAGCACAAAGCTCTGAGTTACAATCCAATACCACATAGTGGGAGGGGTGCTATAATCTCAATCATTCAGGAGGCAGTGGAGACTATCTCAAATAACAATCCAGTCAGGTACCAGTAGCTTACACTTGTAGTTCTAGCTTCTTGGGAGGGTGAGAACAGTTAGACTGTGGTTTAAGACCAGGCTAGGAAGAAAAAGAGAACCCTTCTCTTCTCTGAGAACCCTTTTCAACCCATAGTTTGGCACAATGGTACTCACCTGTCATTCCAGCAATGATAGCAAGTCTACAAGTAGACAAGTGATGGGTTAGAATATCTCACCAGCCTGCAAATGTGAAGCCCTGACTTCAAACCCCAACACTAAAGGAAAAACATTCAGATATGGTGACACATGCCTTATGTAATCTCAGGAACTCAGAAAGTAGAATGAAGGATGCAGACTGAGGCTGGACCCAGGCAATGTGAAACCCTATTTGAAAAATCAGAGGGTATGGTTCAAGTAGGAAAGTGTTTACCTAGAATTATGTAAGTCCTCGTACCACATACACAAAAAAGACAAGATGAAAGAGATAAAAATTACATGGTACCTAAGCAAGAACTATAATGTCATAACCAAAAAAAAAAAGACTATCATCTAACATAATTGTGAGAGCCTGAAAATCCAAGCTGTGAGACCCTGAAAGGATTGGGAGTTTAGAATGCCTTCTCCAAATACACTCTGAGAATTTTCCTGGAGGAGTCAATTGGTCCTGGCTTAACAGGAACTCAGATTCCACCCTAAACTGTGTGGGAGCCTGACAGTAGACTTAGGTTTATGTAAATTATAGGCTGTTTCCTTCCCAGAATAAGGTCACCTACCACTTGTATTCAAAATATTGTCACAAAACATTGTCAACCTTACTTCCTTGCACAAGACCAATAAAAAAAAAAAAAAACCTTGGTTAATAGTTAATGGAACCCTGGGATCTGTTGCTGGCAAAAGGTTACAGGTACCCTGGTGCTCCAAACCTCAGTTCCGTGGTCCAGTGTCCATCACTGAGTTGCTCCCAACTAAAGAACACGCGGTAGGATGCAACACAAAAGATTCATTTTTTTTTTCCCAGTATTGAGTACTACGTGGATTTGTTTTGTTTTGTTAGTGCCAGTTCTGAGTCTTGAACTCAGGGCCTGGACACTGTCCATGAGATTTTTACTCAAGGCTAGTGGTCTGTCACCTGAGCCACAACTCTACCTCCAGCTTTTTGATGATTAGATTTTTTTTTTCCAGTCCTGGGGCTTGAATTCAGGGCCTGGGCCCTGTCCCTGAGACTCTTCATGCTCAAGGCTCACACTCTACTACTTGAGCCACAATGCTACTTCCTGGAGATTAATTAGAGATAAGAATCTAAAGGTCTTTCCTGCCTGGGTTGGTTTTGAACTGTAATCCTCAAACCTCAGACTCCTGACTATGATTACACACATGTAAACCTACAAGCACCAGCTTCTCATGTATAGTTTTAAGTGTACAACCTAATTGACCTTGATATAGTAAATAAATACCCATTTACACAAAGTATTTTCATCCTTACATATACAAGTACACATATACTTACATAGAGAAATTTTAAAAAAATCACGCTAAAATTTCTCATTCTATAAATATTTATTGGAAAAGTATGTATATATGTATGTATGTATTAAAGTAGGCACTCTAAATCTCTGGCTATTATTAGAACCCACATTTTAAACTAAACATTGGCAAAGTAAATGATTATCCAAGAGGTCAAAGAACCAGTTAGTTCAGTAGCAAAACCACAAACCAGTTCAGGTTTTTAATAAGCACAGTGTTCTTTTCAGTTACCCACAGCTCTCTAATTGTGTAAGAAAAAGACAAAGAGAAAGGAAAGAGTGAGGGTTATTAAAGGAGTTGTTAGAAAAGCTCTTTTCTTTTCTGAATAAAAAGAACAAATTTCATGAGCATAGCCTGCCACTCTACATATTTTACAGCCTTCAGATAGAGAAACAGAAAATTTTAAATGTGAGTGTTGCTCTTAATTATGATGTTGAATTATGATGTTGTTAAATTTAGATCAGTTAGTTCTGCTTTCTGGACCTCTGTTCCCTAAAATGCAAAGTAAATGATCTCAAATATCCCTTTCTCTCAAATGGAATGCAGTAACTGTGACTTTATTGTTGATTTTGTGTGTATATGTGGGTGTGGATGCACATATATACTGTGTGTGTGTATGTGTGCATGCCAGCACTGGAGCTTAAACCCAGGGCCTGGATACTTTCTTAGCTTTTCTGAGCAAGGGTTGTGCTCTACCATTTGAACAGCTCCACTTCAGGCCTTCTGGTGATTACTTGGAAATAAAAAGGCTTATTTACTTTCCATTTCAGGCTGGTTTTGAACCTTGGTCTTGAACATCTAGGGTTATAGATATGAATCACCAGCACCCAGATTTTGATTGTTTTTTGAGACAAGGTCTTGGTATTTGGCTCAGGCTGTCCTAGAACTCATGATCCTCCCAATTCAGCCTCCCCAAGTACTAAATCACACAGGCACAAATGAGAAGTTGTTTTGCTTCTAGGTAAAACAATCAAGAAATTCACAAGTCCAGGATCACATGCTTGGGATCCCAGTACTGAGACACAGAAGAAGCTTGAATTCAAAACCAGTCTGAGCTACTTAACAAGATGAGAGACAGAAAGAAAGACAAAGAGAGACAGACAATGATCAAACAAAAGAACAATCAAAAATGGATTCGGTTTCATTTTGTAATATAATGTGTTGCTTTTTTCGTACCAGGCCTGAAAGCTGTCTCTTAACCACAGCTCCACTTCTGGCTTTTTTGGTGCTTAATTAAAGATAAGAGTCTGGCTTTTTTGGTGCTTAATTGAAGATAAGTCTTGGAGGCTTTCTTGTCCAAACAGGCTTTGAACCTCATTCCTAAAATAGACTCCTGAGTAAATATGTGAACCATTTGCACCTGGTTAAGTAATGTGATCTTTTTAAGTTATATTTACTAATGTGAAAATTGACTGAATTAAATTGAACTTTCACAGGCAAAATCTGAATTTTCTCCATCATCCACCAGTAACAGCACCAACATGTTCAACATCACTACATTAATGCATGTGATCAAAGCACATAATCTTCAAACCAAAAGTATAGTCATAATCCAACTACATGAAATTACTTATTTTTCTCCTTACTATCCAAGTTATATTTGTATGTATTTTTGTGTATATAAACCTAAGATGATTTTCCTTAAAATATACATAGCATTTTGATTACTTGATTCTTTTTTTTAATTGTGAAAATACTGTACAGAGGGGTTACAATTACATGGGCAAGATAATGAGTACATTTCTTATCAAGCATTGTAGGCGCCTCCTTTGTTTCCCCTTTCCATCCCTTCCCATCCTTCCCCCCCCACCTAATCCTCCCCCCCCCACCCCCCCCCACCAAAGTTGTAAAGTTCATTTTCGACATAACCACTTGTACATCTCATTGTTGCAATGGGTCCATCTGTATTGCTATTTAAACGACTTGATTCTTTTTTTTTTTTGGTCGGTCGTGGGGCTTGAACTGAGGGCCTGAGCGCTGTCCCTCAAGGCGAGCGCTCTAACACTTGAGCTACAGTGCCACTTCCGGTTTTTTGGTGGTTTATTGGAGATAGGAGTCTCTCGGTCTCTCCTGCCCGGGCTGGCTTTGAACCTCGATCCTCAGATCTCAGCCTCCTGAGTAGCTAGGATTACAGGCGTGAGCCACCAGCCCGGCAAAGGACTTGATTCTTAAGATTATGTATTTATATATTAAGGAATTTCCAGACTCTTATTATTTGATTTTAATATTATCTATTATATTAGATTGTGCCTCTAGAGAAAAATTCCCACCTGTGAATTTGAAAACAAAATTTAATCTTCAAATTTACATACCAAAATCTTTTGACAATAAAAAAATTCAAATTATTTTTAAAACCTTACTTGGTGTATTTGGGTCATGGCGTGGTTTGCAACTTTGGAAATCATACTGCCTATTTTCCTTTGAGCTTGGTTCACAAACACCTTTAAATGGCTTAGAAAGGTACTTTCTGGCAGGCTGAGAATTTGAAATAGCAGGACTTCCTCCTCCAAGCTGAAAACACCTTCCACTGTTGAAGTCATCTGAAGTAATTATACCCATGATTTCTATTTCTTTTCCACCAATCGTAAGTGTTTGGCCTTCTTCTATATTTTCAAACTCTCTGGATTTATATCCGATGCCTTGGAGAAAGAAAAAATTTATTGAGCTGTGGAAAATGAAAATTGTGTTTTACATGTAAATAGCCTATATACCTCATTAGCCAGAATGGAAACATAATTTGTCATTTTGTTTAAGAAAAAGGCTAAAAACAGAAGACGTAACAATACAGTATATTAGAAACTAGTTGCATTTTAGAGAAAAGTTTTAATATTGAAAATATAGCCTACTCATGGTGCTACAATCTTTAGACTAAAAAAATCCAGCCAAGACAACAGACTAATAGATTCTATGAGTTCTTTCTTTTTTTTTCTTTTGTTGTTGTTGATCATTGGGCCTGAACTCTGGGCCTGGGCACTGTCCCTCAACTCTTCAGCTCAAGGCTAGCACTCTACCACTTGAGCCACTTTTTCCTTAATTTTTGCCAGTCCTAAGGCTTGAACTCAGAGCCTGGGCACTGTCCCTGGGCTTCTTTTATTTAAGACTGGTGTTGTACCACTTGAGCCACAGTGCCACTTCTGGCTTTTTCTGTGTATGTGATACTGAGGAATTGAACCCAGGGCCTCATGCATGCAAGGCAAGCACTCTACCACTGAGCCACCACCTTCCCAGCCCTCTATGGGTTCTTAGAATTTCTATCCCTACAACAAACTTAATCTTAGTTGTCTAATTATTTCAAAAAAATCTGCTTGATTATAGTTAGTCCCTTGAAGGAAGAATTACAAACTATCTATTAGTGATCCATTAGGAAACCAAGACCTGTGGTTACACATTTTCATTTTAAAAATCAATATAATCCCTTTGTTTTGTTTTTCCTTTTATTGTTTAAACAAGTGATTTATAATACCTGCTTATGTTATTAGAATCACTCAGCAAACAAATAAACAATGTCCTAGTCCCCTGCCCTACTGATTGAATAAATCATCTACAGAGGTCAGATCCCGGACATCAACTACAGATATAGTGACAAACCCATTAGTTTGGTGCACTAGTGTTTCACGCTTATAATACTAGCTAATAAGCAGGCTGAGATTTAAGAATCACAGTTCAAAGCCAGGAGGCTGAGCAGGAAAGTCTGTGAGACTTATCTTCAATGAACTGCCCTACCAAAAAAGCTTTAAGTGGAGCTGTGTCCTAAATGGTAAAGTATTAGCACTGAGCAAAAAAGCTCAGAAACAGTGCACAGTTCAAGCCCCAGGATCAGCACACGCATGTACATGTGCACATACACACACCTTATAAAGAAGATATGCCGTAATTTTACCTTTCTAGCTGACTTTGGAATACAGTTTATTAAAGAAAAATAGCGGAGCTGGGAATGTGACTCAGTGGTAAAGTGCTTGCCTAGCATACACAAAGCCTTGATTCCTCAGTACCACATAAACAAAAAAAGCCAGAAGTGGCTCTGTGGCTCAAGTGGTACTACACTGGTCTTAAGCTGGGTGCTGGTGGCTCACGCCTGTAATCCTAGCTACTGAGATCTGAGGATCATGGTTCAAAGCCAGCCCGGGCAGGAGAGACCGTGAGACTCCTATCTCCAATAAACTACCAGAAAACCGGAAGTGGCGCTGTAGCTCAAGTGGTAGAGCGCTCACCTTGAGCTGAAGAGCTGAGGGACAGCGCCCAGGCCCAAAGTTCAAGCCCCATGACCGACAAAAAAAAAAACAAAAACAGGGTCTTAAATAAAAGCAGTTCAGGGACAGTGCCCAGGCTCTGAGTTCAAGCCTTAGGACTGGCAAAAATAAAGGAAAAAGAGGGCTGGGAATGTAGCTCAGTGGCAGAGTGCTTGCCTAGCATGCACAAAAGCCCTGGGTTCAATTCCTCAGTACCACATAAACAGAAAAAGCCAGAAGTGGTGCTGTGGCTCCAGTGGCAGAGCCCTAGGCTTGAGCAAAAAGAAGCTCAGGGATGGTCAGGCCCTGAGTTCAAGCCCCAGGACTGGCAAAAAAAAAAAGAAAAATATCACTACATGAAAAAATTCTCCAAAAATGTAGCCCCAGCCTACCTTAATCAACAATACAGATACATCCTGTACATCTTTTGTTTTATCTCCTCTAATAATTGAGCATATCACTGTATACATACTAATTGTCTTTTTTTTTTTTTGGTCCGGTCATGGGGCCTGAACTCTGGGCCTGGGCGCTGTCCCTCAGCTCTTCAGCTCAAGGCTAGCACTCTACTACTTGACCACAGCATCACTTCTGGCGTGTTTTTTCGTGTTTTTTTTTTTTCTCCTTATCTGGTGCTGAGGAATCAAACTCAGGACCTCATGCATGCTAAGCAAGCACTCTACCACTGAGCCACCTTCCCAGCCCCACTAGTCATCTTTTATAAGACATTCCATTGTAGATCATTCAGTACAGCTTCACAGAGTTATTCCCTTGCCATTCTGCTATATACAGTACATTGCTGAAATACTGAGCTAGCTTTGTATATGCCTTTGTATATGCTCCTCCTTTTTGTTTCTTTCCTATGCCTTCAAACTACTCACCTCCAAATATTTAACAGTGACTCCATTAAAGTTCATCCCTAGCCTCTATTGCTGACTTACATGGGTTTTTTTGTTGTTGTTTGTTGTCGGTTGTGGGGCCTGAACTCTGGGACTGGGCACTGTCCCTCAGCACTTCAGATCAAGGCTAACGCTCTACCACTTGAGCCACAGTGCCACTTCTGGATTTTTCTGCTTATGTGGTGCTGAAGAATTGAACCCAGGCCTCATGCATGCAAGGCAAGCGCTCCACCACTAATCCACCTTCCCAGCCCCTTACATGGTTCTTGAATGCTTCCATTCCACTAGTACAACTTCTCATTTTAACATTAGCTTACTATGTCCCAATTACTAATTTAATTGCCATATCTCCACTACACTATAAATTATGATCATCTTTGAATATTTTACTCTTTGCACAGTACTGGCATGTAACAGTTATATTAACATCTATAGACTATGTTTTGAAGTGAACTGACATGTATAACAGATTTAATAATTTGGCCACACTCAAAATTGAATAAGGAACATGCAAAAACAAAAGCTATAATGTTGCTTAATGTTACAGGTTGTGGACACCTGTAATTCAATCACTCAGGAAGATAAGGCAGGAGAATCACTAGTTCCAAACCAACATGGGCTACATAATGAGGACTAAGCCAGCTAGGTACTCACCTTGTTATTTTAAAAAGAAAAGTGCTGAACATTCTGAATTTGTAGGCTAACTTGTATTAGATACAGATTCTGTTGGTAAGATCTATCCATTATTTTACTGGGTAACACTGAAATTGGGTATCATTCAACTTTTCATAACATCTTTTAAAAACTTAATCATTTAACCTTCTGGAATAATTTCTTTAAAGTACACCAAGCCGGGTGCTGGTGGCTCACGCCTGTAATCCTAGCTACTCAGGAGGCTGAGATCTGAGGATCGCAGTTCAAAGCCAGCCCAGGCAGGAGAGACCGTGAGACTCTATCTCCAATAAACCACCAGAAAACCGGAAATGGCGCTGTAGCTCAAGTGGTAGAGCGCTCGCCTTGAGCTGAAGATCTGAGGGACAGCGCCCAGGACCAGAGTTCAAGCCCCACGACCGACAAAAAAATAAATAAATAAATAAAGTACACCAAGACAAAGAGCTTAATCTCAGGAGAATGCCAAGATAAGTACAAATAGCTGGAGTTTGGGGTTTTGTTTTGTTTTGGGAAAATGAAATCATAGGATAGGATTTGATTCAATCAGCTACCTAAGGCTCACTAATTGTCTGATGTAACTACGTATCGTACACAGTGAGGTGCTTACTTACATCTTACTTCTTCCCTTTACAAAGCTCAATTATACTTCTATAGCATAATAAAAGACATATACTAATTTCAGACAAATGATAAAATTGTGTAATATCACAATACCTCTTCCAATGTCTTTGCCTTCCAAATCTTTCAATGAAAATGACCTTCCTTTAACAATGAGAATAGCATCACCTTCCCACTTTTTGTGTTTTTTCTTTGAAGCTTTACACCAAACAACACTGAAATATTTTACTAGGTTACCAGGTTCCTCTTGTCCCTTCGATTCTGTTACTTCTTTAGGAACTGAAAGAACTAGAATAAAAAGTAAATAAATACCGCATTATTAAACATAATTTTAATGCTTATTTATAAGAAATGAGAGGCAAGCAAGAGTGCCCAATACAAACTCAAAAGTTTGTGGGTTTTTTTTGGGGGGGGGGTCCGGTTGTGGGGCCTGAACTCTGGGCTTGGTCGCTTTCCCTCTGCTCTTCAGCTCAAGGCTAGTGCTCTACCACTTGAGCCACAACGCCACTTCTAGCTTTTTTCTTTTTGCTTATGTGGTGCTGAGGAATCAAACCCAGGGCCTCAGGCATGCAAGGCAAGTGCTTTATCACTGAGCCACCTTCCCAGCCCTGAACTCAAAGCTTTATTGGGGAACAGACCTGCAGGCTGCTCCAAGCAGGAATGGAGGCAGCAATGGACAGATGGGGGCAAAATTTTAGGGAGCAGACACATGGGTCACATTATGTACACTATGGGAATTTGGGGGTAGCATCAGTTCCAAGAAGAGGTGAGATGGTGTTACATGGACTGCAGGAATTAGGGGGAGAATCACGTTCCAAGAAAGAGTGTAAGGAGACTGCTGCATTACGGGGGGGGGCGGGGGGAGAAGGGGCAGGAATTTGTACATCACACCAGGAAAACAATACAGCATCGGGGAAATAGAAAATTAACAGATTTTTGTAAACAGGTAGGGACACACAGGGCAGGGTCTTAATCAGGAAGCTGACTTTGAGACCTTCGACTATTATTAAATCCACTTAAATAAAAATATACAGACACAGGAAAATACGCTTGTATTAAGAAGCAGTATAAGGGCTGACAGTATGGTTCGGAGGCAGGATAGATCAGGAAAAATGAAGCCTGGTGAAGGCAACTCAGAAACATACTCTCTATCTGTGCTTCAAAGAGAGACAACAGGATGCATTCCTTACCTCAAGAATTAACATCTGTTTGGTGGCAAGATGCATTCCTTCCTAAGAAAAATGCTCCCCCCCC